GCGAGTACAAGGTTAATGTAAAATCACCTACCAAGAAAATTGCCAATTTTGCTGCCAATTTGGATCTCGATGTAACTACGCTATCGCCAGCCGATGCCTTATTTAATGAGCCCGATGTTGTACTGCGCCAGTCAGCGCCAGAAACTGATACGACTGTTACCCCATCGCCAGTCAACGTTACCCTATCGCCAGCCGATGCCTTATTTAAAGAGCCCGATGTTGTACTGCGTCAGTCAGCGCCAGAAACTGATACGACTGTTACCCCATCGCCAGTCAACGTGACCCTATCGCCAGCCGATGACTTATTTAAAGAGTAATATAATTATTATTAATGTATATTTCATAACGTTTTTCTCGTTTTACAATTGCATTTTAATTGTGTTATTTTATGACAAATAGTTATAATTAATAAATAAACAGATTGATTTTTATAACAATTTAAAGAATACATTAATTTTGTTACCAATCAATTCATTTTATTGTAAGAGAAAGTTTTTCACAAAGTGTTAGTTTAAGTAAAACATGTTAAATAAGACAAAACAATTATAATAGTGAGATTTAAATTCACAAATTACTAGATACGATTAAAAATTTATAAATTTATTTTTACAATTAAATTATCTTAATAATCTAACTTAAATTAGTACTCCATTTCAGCTGGATATAAACCACCAGTGTGGAACGTTATGTAAAAATCAAATAAAATAAAACTTGTAAGTCTTACAAAACAATAAAACCAATCAAAACATTCAAAACAATACTTAAACACTGGACTAATAAAGAATATTCTGTATTTATAGATAAATTATTTCTAAATTGGTGTTTATTTGGATAAACATATTTGTCGAGTGACGTGTGTTTCAGATTATTGCCATAATTATCCTTTGATTCGCAATAACAGGTATAAGTGCCGCCATATTTGTCGGACACATCTCGTAGCCTAACCGAGCCCTTGGTTTCTAAGGTCTTGAGCGGCACTATATTTCTCTGTCCGATCCCATCCACCGATGATATGTTCATCTGATCTGCAAAACAACACAACAAACTAATTCATAATTCAATTTATTACATATTATTTAATAATATGTTATATAATATACAGTTATAATTCAAACGGTAAAACTCATGCTTATCCTTAGACAGTGTCAGTATATTGAGGTACTCTTCATTAGGTGTTAACACAAAACTACAATTAATTATAAATTCATTGGTAATGTCGGCATATTCTGGGACTGAAAAATCATCGATTGTTATACATTTTGCTTTATATAATAAAACAAATATTAATATAATTGTCCAGAATTTCATGTTTTAAACACAATATTTCATTTTGTAATAAATTATATAATGTATAACAATATTGAATGGAATATATTCTGGAAAAGTTTTGTAAATATCAAACATACAATAATTATCGTTTGTCTCAACGCTACTAATCCATGTATTTATGTGTTTATTTAGTGTAATCGCTATTTTTAGAATTAATTTATTTTTATAATAATCTATTTGATCCAGGGTGAATCACTGATTTACATTAGGGTTATTACTATTTAATTTGTATGGGTGATATTTTTAAATTTATTTATTATTAATTTTAAAAAAATTATAGATGTTAAATAAAAAGTTGATTAACTTATTAAAAAATTATCTTTATTTAATGGTTTAAATTATAAAATATATTATTTTAATTATCATATTATAATATTTATTAAGCTTTAATTTAATTAAAATCTTAGACAAATTCATTAACATTTATGCCTTCATTTTGAATACGATTTAAAGTGTTTAACAAATCGTAAGTAATTTTCTCGTTGACCACAGAATCGTGTTTATAGTCCGCATGTTTTCGCACAAAATCTCTGATCCATTTTGCAGTTGTCTTGACTTTAGCCGACGCTCTGTCGGCAATCAATTGGATATACTGTTGGACTTTATTATAGGTTTGGGCGTCAAGTGATAAGTCTTTTACATAATCCCTGATTAGTGGTATTAAACCCGGAAATTCATTTCCGTAACCATTCATTATCTCATTGATAGACATCTCTATATATGACTCCTCTTCGCTCTCATATCTCTCGTAATTAGTTTTAGAACTGTTTGTATTGTTATTTACATCTTGTAATGTGTTTTGAGCGAATATGTCTTTTCTGAACCAGAATTTACTTCTATTGACGGCATCTCTCTTTACAGCGGTTGACATGTTTTGGTCGATCTATTAATTAATAAATTGTAAAAATTAATTAATAAAGATAACAACGGGATAAAAGTAACAACTATAGTAGTTATAATATAAATTAAAATAATATCTTACTTTAGAGATAGGAATAATGAAATTGAGTTTATATTTCAATACAATTCTGGACAATAGTATAGTGAAGACAGAAAAGGCGGCGTTTTCGAAGTCAGTCATCTGGATCTCCATCGGACGGAACTCTACTCTCCAACCGATGGACTGTTGGTTAAGAGGCGGCGGTTTAAACCTCATTGTCTGCCAATTAGTCGACTGAATATTCTCGAAGTGATCCGTTTCTGTGCTATCGTTTTGATCCAATTTCTCCCAATAAGTAACCGTCGGGTCTCTAATGAACACATATGCCATGTGTTGGGCCAGAGATAGTGTCACTCCGGCACTGATCATCTCATCATAAAACTCCGTATTATAGACAATGGGATTATCATTATATCTAGCGTTACATTCGCACAGATATGTGTTTAAAGGGGCGCATCGGGACTTATGAATCCTAAATTTATCATGTTTTAGGGGTTTCTCTCCCCGTTCTTCAGGAGTTCTGTCGTCCATCGACGCGGACGAGGCCTCCAATCGGCAGTCATAGTCGGATAAATAGCCCCTAAATATAGGAGTGGCTGCGCTTAATGCCGTCATAATAGGCGTTAACGGCAACAACTGGTCGTTCAATACAAACGCCTCCTCTATATTCGTCGCCTGCATTGTAACCTATGTTAGAAAACAATTCATATAATTAGTCAATCAAACCATTATTTTAATCACAGGATAATTTACCTGAAGACAAGAGCAGCCCATTCCCAGTACGGGTGCGTCCAAATAAATGTGATCTACTTTTGCCTCTCTATTGGACTCCTTATCGTTGAACAACTCGATGAAAGGGTCGGGAGTTTTGGTGTCTTTAAAGATGGGAATATTGATTGTGATCTTCTTTTCTCTGCGTTGAACTATATTATAGCCCGTCTTTATATATCTTGGATGAGCGCTGTTTGTCAACACATCCGACACAAAGATACTGCCCGTTGAGCTGTTCAGGGGATCGGGACTACTGTACGGCACACTAATGTCATCGCAACCCAACCTAATACTCAGTTAAAAATAAACATTAATTTAGCATTTAATAACATAGTATAATGTACAATAAGGTAACCTGGGCAATAAACTAACCTGGGAAAATTTCCCAAACAAAGTAAAGCTTCGTCGGGTCCGAGAAGGTGTTTGATATCTCGACGCCTTTCCTTCATATTATTCTCTACGTTATTAAACCAACAATTCATTGACTTTTTGCCATTCATTTCGTTTTGGTGTCCGTACGGCTGTCCGGGTGTGGCCTCGATGTGAAACGAGCCGTACTCTGGCCGCCACAACACCTCACACTTTGGTCCCTCTCTCGCCTCCCTTTCATCCATAACCTCCAGAATGTCTTTCGGACGAAGACTTAGTCTAACCTTTTTGTTGTTGTGATCGAAGCGGACGATGACGTACTCGATCTCATCGCCCCATTTGAAGCACCGGTCGATTCGGTCTTTGTTTTGGTTATAGATATTAATGAATTGTTTGATTCCGTGTCTCCGCACGTGTGGCGCGTGTTTCCTATTCTCCGGATGACTGAGCGGTTCTCCAAACGATAGCAAACCCATTGTTTTTATATTAAAATAACTTTTGTATTAAAACAATTCGGAAAACTTTTAGTTAAAAATGTTTAACAAAAAAGCCAGACAAACATATACTTAATTTAAAAACTCATTCAGTATTTATAGCAAAACTATTAGGCAATTGTAAGCAATACATGAGATAAAGTCATATCTAAATTGCTGACACTCTACTGATTAACCTAAAGGAGTACACCATTTGTAGCGCATGTTTAACACCAGATTAATAGCAAATTGCAGACATATTAGACGGCAGACACATATTTAATCAATAACTCAAACAAACCGGTCATTTATTATTAAAATGTAAATGTATAAAAATACTAACACATAATACATAACATGTCATTTTAGCATGGAGAATTGAAATCGCAATTTTAATGCCAACATAATTTGCATACTTACAAAAATTAACTATATTTTTATAAAACAATTAAACACCATGGTTAATTTATCCCACCGGCTCTGCCCCAGGGTTTACACCCGTTTCAGGGCCTCTGAATACAGTGTACTTCATCTTATGTTCGTTGCATCAGTTGTTACGTTAATTTACGATTAGATATATTTGCGGCCAAATGTGGCATAAATTCAGTTACAATTTTAAACATATACATTGAGATTAAATTAATTTTACTTCATTAGGGACATTATACAATATTAAATTAAAAAACAAATGGCATAAGCAATAGTCAACTTATTAACTTTGTTTGATTTATAACAATCAATCGCTTAACCGTAGGCCAACCCCTGCCCACATCAAATAGTTTATATTTAATAAATTAACACATGGTTAATTTTTAATCAGTGTTATATGTTATCAGTGATAACTTATCACTATACTTTGCTCGTTTAGTGAAATTATGTGTACTTTCACAATAATTATATTATCTATTTAATAATAAACATCAATTACAATTTATTGTAAGAATCTCATGCTTTTTGCATGAAAAATATTTTTAAACCAGCATGATCAAATTATTAAAATACCTTAAATAGCAAAAAACATATAATTTATTGAATTGTTAACAATAATCTAAAACATAATCTTTTATAATAATTACGTTTTATTTATGTGAAAATCAACACTAACTCAACAATAGGTGTTAAGAGTGTATTCAATATATTATTTACATTTAGTGTTTAGATAATCGTCGACCGTTTTCACATTCGCCTCTAGCATTCCCTCACCAATGCAGTCAATATTAGTGTCCAACAATTTCTGCCAATCATCATTTGTTATCTTATTGAGATGTTGATGACATTTACCACTTTTAAACCCTTTAGGTAAACGACCCACCTTTTTACGTCCCACCTTGCCACCTACACACGCAGGTAATTCACTCAACGCGATCACTTTGTTCAGTTTCTTATGATTGGTGAACAAGAGGCGATTCCTGAAATCTGGCTTAAATTCTTTGAGTAATTTAGCTATCTCCTCAAGCAATGGATTTAGGCCTATTATATGTATCTTATCGGGAGTGCCCGGTATAAAGCTGTTTGTATGTCTTGTTGCCATGTTAAATAAAGCTGCACCATTTGAAATTTAAGTGAATTAATAATATGGTAAAAAAATCATAAAATATTTGAAATACTCACTAAAATCAATGTTCTCGCCTTTAGTACCGGTAAAGTCGATAACGACGTGAAAATTTTTCTCTTTGGCGTCAAAGAGTGCTGTTTTACATCGTTGAAGGATATAGTTATGCGCTAAGTCTAACATTGCGGCACTCATACGAGTGAACGGCCGAATACAGCGAAAACAAATGGATACAACCGGTTGTCCGGTCCGTGATTTGCCCACATAATGGACGGCACCGGTGGCGAAAAACTCGGATGGATAGTCAAGCTCAGTGTGTGTCATAACTTGCATATTTTTACCATAATCAATAGCCTTTATCAACCACTTTAGTGCCTCGGCTTCACTATCTATTTGCGCGATAAATCAATAATTATTGCTTACAATACCTTTAGATTAATATTAAAAGTATAACAATTGTTATTTATATACAAAGCAGTCGTAATTACAATAACGTTGACTGCAATAAAATGTCATAAATTCTATTATTTATTTAAAAAAATTATTTAAATTCTTTGCAAATTCGAGAGGACTTATGAACTATAATTTAATCACAATTAAAAAATTTATAGCAATAATAATAACTATAGTTAATAATAAAAAAAACCTACTATTGGTGGCCACGAGATATCGTTCGAGCAAAAAGTCTGCATTTCTCTTCTCAATAGATTTCAAATCTTTATCTTTTTCATAATGTTTTGAAAGCGAATCCTTGAGTCGCTTAACCGCCTCTTTATCACAATTGATGGCACAAAAAGCGGTTAGTATTAAGCAAATGAACAACACATTCATTATAACCATAATTTGTTGTAATAAATGACAAAATAAATTAATTTCAATATCAAAACATAATTAACACACATATGGAAAGTATATGTTTTCACAACTTTAAATGTTTGATGGAAAAATTATTTTTATTTTGTTTAATATTTAATATATTACAATTCGTATTTATACTCAATGCTTAATTGATCTACAAATGGATATAAGCAAATATAAAATTAATTATTTTTATTATATTTTTTTACAAAAGTAACTAACATTTTATGCGTTACTAATTTACATAAGTAATATAAATATCGGTGCATTAATTTTTTAAACACCACTTGTCATTGCAATAAGTTTCAACACTGTATTCAATACATTATTTACATTCAGTGTTTAAGAATATGTCAGTAGAATTCACATTCGCCTCTTTCATGCCTTCGGTAATGCAGTCAATGCTTGTGTTCGTAAATGTCTTCCAATCTTTGGTTGGTATCTTATCGAGATGTTTAAGACATTTACCACTTTGAATATTTTTGGGTAAACGGTTAAGCTTTTTGCGTTGACCACCTACATTCACGGGCAATTCACTCAACGCAATCACCTTGTCCAACTCTTTATGCGTGGTGAACGAGATCCGTTTCTGGAATTCAGGCTTATAGCTTTTAATTAACGCATTCAATTCGGGCTCGATCGTTGAGTTCACGCCTAGTAAGTGTATTTTATCGGGGAACCCCGGTACGTAAATGTTAATCGGGCCAAATGTTCTATTAAATAAGCCTGCAAGTATTGCAAGTATTGCAAATATTTATTTCAATATTGCTGTTGTTGTTATCTAGATAATTTCGTACAACACATACGATCGTTACGTTATGTTTATATACAATCAAATTCAGATACTATCCGAACCTCTTTCACGAGAGCGCAGCTCTTTAACGGATAATCCAATTATATATCTCTAAAAATGCGCCCCAAAAATGACCCGTAAATTGTTTTTATCACATCCATGAAATTTAGAGATTACAACATAGTTTATGAATTTGACTGTATGTTTACGGCTAAATCTTGTAATGTACAAGTTTACATAGAGTCATAGTTTTTAAGCACATTCATATTTTACAACATTTAATACTCACTGAATTCAATGTTTTCCTTTTTAGTTCCGTTAAAGTCGATAACCACGTGAAAGTTTTTGTGCTGTCCCTCAAAAAGTGCAATTTTCAATCGCTGGAGGAAATAGTTATGCATTAACGACAACATCTCGGCGCTCATGCTTTTGAACGGCCGAATGCAACTGAAAGACACCGTCACTACCGGTTGTCCGGCGCGTGATTTATTCACATTATGTATGGCTCCCGTCGCGTAAAACTCAGATGGATAATGTAAATCGCCATAGTGCAACACTTTCACTGTTTTAGCATAGTCCAACCCTTTTAAGATCATTTTTACCGTATCATTCACGCTATCTATTTTATTATCCAAAGTATAAGTTACCAATATACAGTGTGTGTAAACCACTTTTGATGATTTTACAGCTTTTACATTATTTTTATTTTATCCATGTTATAGAATATTTTTCTTAATTGTAATTCGTCGAATTTATAAGCAGATAATTCATGTTTAATTTAGTATAATTTATATAATAATTGATAATCCCTTGGTCTACCAGGAATAATTTTACTGTAAAAATATCAAATTAAAAATATTATTGATTTTGTGACCTCATCTATTTCTTGAAACAGTAAGCGTAATTAAATAATACTAATTCAGCAGATTAACCATTATATGTAATCTGTTAATTTATTATAATATTTAATTTTTCATAACCATTCTTTTCTCTGTAATTTTATTACTATGTTAACTTTTTCCATAGGATTACATTGAAAAATTCACAAAAATATAAATTGTTCAACAAAGTTGGAATATTCTGGTAATAATATTTAATTTTTCATAACCATTCTTTTCTCTGTAATTTTATTACTATGTTAACTTTTTCCATAGGATTACATTGAAAAATTCACAAAAATATAAATTGTTCAACAAAGTTGGAATATTCTGGTTTAAATTTTAGATATTTATGAAAACTTAAATACTGAGTACGCAAATATAAAGTACAACTTTTAATTAATTAAAAACAGAAAAAATTCACAAAAATATAAATTGTTCAACAAAGTTGGAATATTCTGGTTTAAATTTTAGATATTTATGAAAACTTAAATACTGAGTACGCAAATATAAAGTACAACTTTTAATTAATTAAAAACAGTCGAGTTTATTAAAATTGGTTTACAAATGCCTGATCTACACATGTTTAAGATAACCTACTCTTGTAATGCTTTTCAATGCAAATATGCAATCATCAAAAATGGTTTACACAGACTGTACATATCAAACAACACCCATTAAACCGGGAGCCAACCCCCGCCCCAACCCCTTTGCATACATGTTTGGCGAGAGATAGACAATACACTGGCGTTCATAGAGTGAAAAGTAGTCGTATTTCTCTTATAAAAACAGTCGAGTTTATTAAAATTGGTTTACAAATGCCTGATCTACACATGTTTAAGATAACCTACTCTTGTAATGCTTTTCAATGCAAATATGCAATCATCAAAAATGGTTTACACAGACTGTACAGCTATAAACTGCCAAAACACTAGTTGTGCGACAGTTTTATCGGTTTTTAGACAATACATACACTTTTTTAAGACGACTGAAAACTTACTAAAGAAAACTAATCATAAAATACACAAAACTTGGTTTTAAGAAAAATCACAAACTTATTTGATTAAAAGACATTGTTTTGTACTTTTGTATAGTAAAAATGCGAACCAAGAAATACAAAGTAAAACACTAGATATTTATTTGTGCTCACAATATAAGACTCTAAAACCAATTTAAATTTACTTTGTCTTTTGAAAATGTTTTTATTTTTAATGTTTGGCACAAACAAAGGGTCAGTGTTTGAGTTGGGGTTTGTTTATATGGCCTAAAATATATGTTGTTTAGTGGACTTACAATTACTAGTAGTCGGCGTATGGATAGCGAAAAGTCATAAAACAAATGCTGTCAGACAATAGAGAGCAATAGTTAGTACAGTATTAGAATTGAATGAAAAGCTATGGTAAGTAATGGCAAGCAATGGTAAGTAAAGGCATGTAAATAGATAGACATGAATGAGAGACTCGACAAACGAACCGACTCTGACTACCCCTCTATTGTTAGGTACGAAGGATTGAGTACTGAAATAGCAATTATTGGGCAAAGCAATGGTAAGTAAAGGCATGTAAATAGATAGACATGAATGAGAGACTCGACAAACGAACCGACTCTGACTACCCCTCTATTGTTAGGTACGAAGGATTGAGTACTGAAATAGCAATTATTGGGCATAACTGCTACTAAACTCCATAAATCGAGGTTTCGTTTCAAACATGTTTTCTATTCATATTCAACACAACTTTGGTCTCTATTGTAGTTTTGGTTATTAATATTAATATAAGTTATGATAGAAATGGCGAGCACTTGAATATAAGCCCAGAATTTAATAAACGGATACATCATATCATGTATGCGTTCGTGAGTGGAGTCTAACTCTAACCCAAAAGTATGAGAATATATGTAAGAATGCTGTGAGCGATGCAAACGGTGCGAGTGGTGCGCAAAACTGCATTAAAACAGATTAAAACCAATTAATCAAATCTTATTTTTCCATAACTTATTAAATATAGAAAAATATAATAACTCCAGAGCTCTGGAAATGCCTTTAAGTTATTCTTCTGCTCAGAGAATGTGATTTTGATTAATGTTTGAGTTTTGGCTCCAATTATAGAGTTTGAGCTCTTCTGCCGATCGCTTATATAATTAAATTCTAAAGGATTTTGATTTTGATGTATTCCTCGGTTTTCGGTTTGGGAGGAATGGCTCCTCTCCTCGCCGTTCGTTCACGTCCTCAACCCTCGGGTCACCAGAAATGAGCGAATGAAAGATAGTCCACCTATAGGTCTCAAACCATGATTACCATGATTTATATCATCACTGATTAATCTCTATGAAATGCCTTCCATCGATGCCATCGATGCAAACCATGCAAACGCTTCAATCATATTAGCAATTATTTCCGCTCATCTTTTTTGTTATAAATTCAGATAAGAAATTACAGACAACTTCTGTGACCAACAAATACTATGTTTTACATGAATAAGAAGCAGAGGCGCCCCAACTATTGTCTGTCACTACTTGTGCAACAATTATTAAGGCCAACGGCTCATGACTGCCGACTATGACTATAACTACGGCTATGACTGTAAGCATGAAAGATGTTCAAAGTTTTTGGTAGCGATTTGGGCTTTGGATCCAATAATAACACGTCGATAAACACTGAATAGTGAATAGATTATAATGAATGCATTGAATGGAGAATACAAACGCTGCGGGCGTTGTTGTAGTTTGTGTTGAGCGCCGGGAGATATACCGAAACAAATTGGTTCAGCTCTGTCTCAATGGCAGCAACTGTGCCATCAGGTCTGCCCAATGCTTTCAATGCACAAAACTTTGTATATACCAAACACTCGGTTCCCATCATATTATAAGTAACCAAAATTTGCGTAACGAATACAAAAACACCGGATATTATAATATTATAAAATATGAACCAAACTTATCGATGGTTAACATCGCGAATACAACTCTCGCTATCATTACAAAAATAATTAAATACTTTTTCATTCAAATTGCTTCTAAGCCTTGAAAGATAAACACAGATCTGATATACACTTTAATTATTATATAATTATAATCAACGAAAAACCAGAATTTCAAGTGTTTGCTAATGGATTGAATGCATAACAACTCCAATCTATTGTGTATGTGTTTTACGGCTTATATATAATATACGGATAATTCATTTATAGATCAAAAAGACCACAAATTCTACTGTATATAAAATATTGTGCACTTTTGAGGCTCAAGAATGGCATTGGGTTTGTTTGGACGCTAGGAATGGCTACAGAATTGAATTCATATTAAACAATGTGACGGACATTACATTGCATTGCATTACCGAAACCTATTGACGCGATTCATGTTAAAAATGTCTCAAATCATGTTTTGCGGTATAAAAACACTATTCTCTCAACGAATTGAAGTATAAATATTGTGCGGCTTTTCATAAATAGTTTAAATAAATTGAGTGGCAATGATTGCTATGACATCCTATTACTATTATATCGCCATAATTTCCCTTCAAGTAGTCATCAAAATAATCACTGTTTCAATATTTTATATATATTGTAAACGAGACAATAGCGACACACCTTTTCCATTATACATATTATCATACATTTGTTACCACAATCATAGCATACAATATATCCTATTTATACGCACTAACAGGTAATCAACTAAAATATGATCAGGGTGGAGAGACTCAACTACTATAAATAAGCAATGAGCTCAGATTCAAAATGCTATACATATTTCATATGCTATACGGTACTGTCTTATATTTACATAAGTATATTATTGTGTGATTTAATACAAATTTCAAACAGTGGTTTGTGAGAAGATGAGGTATTGAACAATACAGGTAATAATTACTAAAAACTATAGTCGAATACAGGTAGTAATGGTAGAGCCATCTCGATATAATGAAGTGAATTGCAAGTAAAAGTATTTTAACAAAAACCAACCAATTTTGCCATTGGATAGCATTGGATAGCATTGGATAGACTGGCCATTGAAAAGCATTGAAAAGCAATGATTTGAAGTCACATTCAATGGTTTGAATGGGAGAGAGCGTAGCCTTAAAGCATGCATTACTGCAATGCAGCCATACATTGAACGAAAGTGACATTTCGTACGAATTTGTGTCGACAGTAATGGATAGAAAGGGAGAGTTTTGGATGAGATGTTGTGTTTGGCATATAATATAACTAATGATAGTTTGGTAATTGAAAGTGTGGTCAACAATATATGTTAAGAATCACATCTCATTGTTAATTATAGAGAGAGTGCTAAAGTTGATGATA